CCAGCATTACTCAAATATACGCGTACGATTCTGTACAGTTCTTGATGATATTGAAATATCTAATATCTACAGTTACAGTATTATGTTTTTTTGTGTTTTCACATTTGTGGCCAAGGGTCCTCCACTCCATTATCCCCCACGGTCTTCTATTCTTTTCGCATTCCGAGAAGTGCCAAATATGGTGTTCGGATATGTTCAAATGCTCCATGAAGCAGGTGCCGGAAGTGGTTGCGGCAATGCCGAAGCAAAAGGAAGATCAGGTGCCTGCAGTGGTCCGGGCCCTTGTGCGATCCTTGAAATTTGCATCCCTGGCCCACCCAGTGGCCTAGACTGGTGGGGTTGATTTGAATATAATTGAATATGTCACAATATGTCCCATTCTGAATCATTCTGTGAATTATGTGTCATTAAAAGAAGCCTCTTATCCACCAAAGGACACTGTGAACCCATAGCGCAGCACGTCAGCAAACAAAATGCACCACGCATACAAGACAAGGTTTCTAGCTGATTCTAGCTGTTCTAGCTCGCCGCAGTTTTGTTTTCTTGGCCGCTCTGAGGCCTCTGAGGTGAAGCAAGACACGGCACAAGCGGAGGTTTGCCTTGAAAACTTGACAAAGCATGAGACGCCACCATATCTGCCATAACTCTGTACTCCTCGGCTTCAGTCTGAAAACAATGTTGAGATACGTTGGAGTTGCACATGTAAGTATTGAAGACCGCATTGTGCTTTGTTTATTTTGTTTCGCTGTATGCTAAGTGTACTGATGGTGACTCTATGACCCTATGTTTGATACATTTTGATACATTGCATTCCTTGAAACCTTGCACGCATTGCGGTGAATTGTGAGGCTTGTCAGGCCACAGACGACGAGCCAAAGCAGTGGAGCACCCAGGGCAATTCGATCGGATGAAACCATGACGTTTCTGAGGCAGAGATTAAGGGCTCTCAAAGGATATCGAAGGGTGATGACATGTGATGACTCATGACAAAAACGATGAAACAGCTAAACATGTGGATTGTGAAGGTATGTGAAGGTATGTGAAGGTATGTGAAGGTATGTGAAGGTATGTGAAGGTATGTGAAGGTATTCTCCAAGTTTGCATTGTTTTGAATTTTGGATTTGTTTTGGGCTTTGTCCCACAAGTTTTGGACATACAGTGAATGGTGATAGTGATGCCTATTCGCAGAAGGCCAGCATCCTCTCCGCCGCAACCAGCCTTTGTGAAGGCAAGCCACTGTATGTCCTGGCAATCCTTCAAATTCATACATCTTGAGACAATTTTAGAGGAGCCATGATTTCTGATGACTTCCTTCTCATGAGAATAAGACAGGCCAGCAAGGGCTGAGAGTAATGAAACTCTTTACTGTAGCATGTTAGCAACTCTCGGGTTTCTATCATAGCTTGACAACCTATGTGGTTCTGCTTAACTTTTTTATGTGGTTCTGCTTAACTTTTTTTCTCGTTTTTCTTACTACGCCAGAGTGAGTGCCTCTCATGTGGAAGGCCAACAGGCCAGATCTCAAAGGCCGTGGGACCTGGGATGGCCTGGATAGTCGGATTGACCATGTGAGCATCATGTGATAGTGGGAGAATTTCGGAGAATTTCGGAGTTCTTGTATGTTCTTGTGCGGTTGTAGTCAGACCTGGAGAGAGTCACGATGAACAAACCAAGAGGGCCGGCGCTGCATTTACTCCAGGTCGACGAAGGATGGCTCTGTCCCCTATGGTTTGCGCATGTTTGCGCCATGCATTATTAGTTCGAAAAATCCTTCCCCGCTCCCTGAAACGGCAAACATCAGCAAATGTATGCAAATGTGCCCGGAAGATGGCGCACCATGCGCAACCCTAAATGCCCAAAATGGGTCAAATTGCGCCATCTACCTCATTTGTAGTTCCCAGCAGGAAGCTGTTCGGTTTCAATCTCTAGAAGCAGGGGGTGGTGTCGTGTTCCTCCTTCTGCGATGTATGCACAGGGTTCCGGGAACCTTGGAACCTTGTCTCCCAGTGTCTCCCATTTTGTCTCCCAGCTATATATGTGTTACTGTATGTTATGTGTGTTGCACAGTGTCTCCCACACCGAACCTTGGAACCTTCTCTGCCGCTTTGTCTCCCACCTTGTCTCCCGCTTGTTTCCCAGCTTGTGTCGCACTGTGTGCGTCGCACTGTGTGTCGCACTGTGTAACAGTGTATAACAACCTTGTTTGCCACCGTGTCTTCCACTGCGGAAACTTTGGAACCTTGTCTACCACTTGTCCCTCAGCTTGTCTCCCGTTGTGTCTCCGACTATGTCTCCCAACATGTCACCCACTTTCCCATTTTATTTTCGACGTTGTCCCCCTATGTGTCTACCAGCTTCTCTCCCACTTTGTTCCCCGCACTTTGTTTCCCAAGATTGTCTCCCACTTTGTCTCCCCTTTGTTTCTCACATTGTCTCCCACTTTATTTCCCACTTTGGCTCCCAATGTATGTCCCAGCTTGTCTCCCACTTTGTCCCCCACTTTGTGTCCCAACTTGTCCCGCACTTTGTCTCCCGCTCTGTCTCTCACTTTGGTTCCCGCTTTGTCTCTCACTTTGTTTCCCGCTTTGTGTCCCACTTTGTTGCTCACTTGTTTCCAAAGCCTTTGTCTTCCAATGTGTTTCGCACTCTCTCTCTCTCTCTGTTTAAGTGTGTCTCACACTGTGTCTCCGAGTCTCCTCCCACTTTGTCTCCCACTTTGTTTCATTTATTGTCTCCAACTTGGTCCCCCACTTCGTCCCACTTGTTTCCCACTTTGTCACTCACTTTGCCTAACATTTTGTCGCCCACTTTTTTTTCTCCTGCTTTGTCCCCCACTTTGCCCCGCACTTGTTTCCAACTTCGTCTCCCACTGTGTTTCCCCTTTTGTCCCCCTTTGTCTCCCACTGTGTTTCCTCTTTTGTCTGTCTCCCAGTGCGTTTTCCATCCAGTATCTTTGCTTCCCACTGTGTCTCCCAGTGTGTTTCCGACTTTGTCTTCACTTTGTCTCCCACCTTGTCGCCCAGCTTGTTTCCCACTTTGTCCCTCACTTTGTCTCAAATTTTGTTTCCCACTTTGTTTCCCACTGTGTTGCCCACTTTGTCTGTCATTTTGTTTCCATGTTGAAAGTCAAAATGTGGCCCAAACATGGACGCTACTCGGGAGCTTTTTCACTTTGAATTTTGGAATCTTCATTGCTGTTGGGTTGCAAAGTTGGGTTAATTTAATTTCCTTTTTTCAGGACTCAACGTTTCGGTCATCTGATTTTGGTTGGGGTTGAGAGCACTTTTGGTGTCAAATTTGAAAGCGTCGGCGCCATCTATATCGTCCTCTTTGGCAGTGGGCGGCGTCATTTTTCGTCAAATATGTCTAAACTGGCACAGGATTGCACAGAGGATGATCATGCTGAGGTGTTGTGAGCTATTGCTATTGGTTTTACTCAGTGCTTATAAAGGTTTCTGGTCCTCCCTTCGCTCTTGATGTTCTTATTTTTGGCCGTTGTTTCGAAGGTTATGTTGCTGTGCCTGTACAGTTGGGCGACGCAAAACCAGCAGAGGAGAAAGGCACCATGTACAGGTCACATGTTCAATGTTTGTTTAATCCCTTCCTCCTAATACTAAACGTCCCCCCCTCATTAATAAACACGGCAGGTAGATTTTAGTATTAGGGTGGATTAGGGTGGTATTTATTATTAGGGAACCCTATTAATGAAATTAAACCCTTAATAATAAAAACTATTTTCAAAATCAATTAAAATTCTTTAAGCGCAATGAACATATTGCCAAAATTGGATTTCGAAGCTTCCGCTAATATTAAATTAAAACCCTTAATAAAACTATGTTTTCCGGTTTCAAAATCATTAAATATATTTATATAACGCAATTAAAATATTGCCAAAACTTGGATTTCGAAGCTTCCCCCTAATATTAAGTTAACACCCTTATAAATTATAAATAATAAAACCTATTTTTTCCGATCTCAAAATCAATTAAATATCTCTTTATATAACGCAATTAAAATATTGTCAAAAATTGGATTTTGGAGCTTCCCCCTAATATTAAATTAAAACCCTCAATAATAAAAACTATTTTTTCCGATTTCAAAATCAATTAAATTTCTTTATATAACGCAATTAAGATATTGCCAAAAATTGGATTTCGAAGCTTCCCCCTAATAATTACTAAATTAAAAGCCCTAATATGAAAAACTTAAAAAAGAATCGGACGGACCCTAATAATAAACACTCCGGGATTGACTAGTTTTTAGTATTAGGGGGGAAAACCCACAAATGGTAGCTTGATTTTTAAATTGTTTTCTAAAGGGGATCAATTAAAAGTCAAATTGGCCAATCTGAAATTTTCCAAAATTGGAGATGGACACTAGTTTTTAGTATTTGGGCAGGGTTTAGTAATAGGAGGAAGGGATTATTTTGTTAAGCCAAGTGCCAATAGCAGACATTATTCAGCTACTGAGTTTCTTCTGTCTTGGGCAGGTGTGGCAGCTGTCGCAGCTCCTACCGGGAAACAACACTCCGCAGAGGTTCATTGTGTCAGCAACCTGTTTGTCGAACTTGGCAGTGATTTAGCATGGACAGAATTGGATCTTGTGAACCAAAGTATGCAGCATGTCGATTTCTGGTGTCTTTGTTCATCGCGGGCTACGTGCAAGTGACTAGAGAAAGTGTTGCCGGCGCACAGGTCTACCTTGAGAAAGACATAGAAAGAACCTAGCCCTACAGTAGCCTATGCACAAAATACATCAAAATACAAAAACGGCAGTAGATGTTGCCAGTGCTTAGGCCGGTTCTGGACCCTTGCCCAGCAAGACCGCCAGGATTTCAGAGGATCTCCATGCATTTGCCGTTCCATTTTGCTGGTATGTCTTTGTACTAATTGAATCTAATTATATAATCATAATATATTTACAGTATTTTACAGTTATTTATATATAATCGTTGTAACATCATTATAATCCATTTTGATCCTATGTGTGCTCGGGAATGACATGACGAGCCTCTGGAGAGTTCTTACTACGATTCATGCAGCTCTCCTGGTCGCATTGCTGTATTTTGCTCTTGAAAGTTGGAACTTGCCTAACTTGCCTAGCCAGCATTTCAAAGAGGCACAAAGCATGATGCTAGGCTGGACCCCCTCAACCACGGTCTTCGCGAGAAACATCAAGGCGGTGTCAACAGTGTCAACAACACGTATAGCAGGTTTCTACACATTCCATATGATTCCACGCTGTGAGCTTCTGTCTTCTGCATTGCCACATTCGAAAAATGACGCTTTCGCAAGACATGAATCACGCGTCCCGTTGGAGAGGAAGCCCTTGTCTGAATTATCTCCGCAAAGATTGGGAGACGTTCAGGGCTCAGACACGCTCAGACGAAAGAGAAGACAGATAAGACAGCGGTGCGTTCGCCATTTCAAGAATCTCGGGTCTTGTGCAAAATGTTCAAAGATGTTCAAAGCACGTCACAGTTTTGCCTGAGGTTTGTTAATGTAGTAATTATCGGAGCCAATCTAAAGGTCCGTGTAGTGGGATATACGATTGTTCATCACAAAGGCCGCCAGTGTTACAACATGAGACCCCGCGAAAGTTTTTCTGATTTCCCGAAAGACATTTGATTTTGGCGAAAGATTTGGCAAACATTTCGATAAGGCGGTTTTACCAAGTTTTGCCAACGTGAGAACCTTCTGAATTGTGAATGGCAGGGATAGAATAGGCCCACGTATACACGTATACTATTCATATATTTGTAATTAATCAAGTGGAGCTGCACCCCCAAGCACCATTCAGGATGTGGTTTTGTGGTTGATTTGCAAAGGATTTTTCGCGAAAGCTCTGCGAAAGCAGTGGCAAACCCATAGCCCACACAGCACCCTCTTGCAGCGTCACGTTTGCAGCGTCACGTGAGCCTGCTGTTTCCTGGTGGAACTATCCCAACATGGGATTGCAGCGGATTGCATCTGCACGTGGCTGTTTGCCAGATCATTCTCACAGATACCGTTTACATGCAGTTTGAGCGCGTCTCAGCAGCACAAATCACCATCACAACCCCCCGAAAGAAAAACTTGGGAGACGCGAAAGTTGATTTCTTGCCCGCGAAGACTGATGAAGAATGGCAGATCAACCACCGTGTATCAGACGCATGCGACCTGCAATATTTCTCTACAGGAACCCCGTCCAACAAAAATGATGACCAATAGAGTTAATAGAGTACTATGAGTACTGCATCTCAGGAGAAAACATGTCTGCAACACTGCGGATTTCGACAGTCTGACTTTGATGGAACTTGGGCGACTTCGAGTAGCATTTGCATTCATCCAATTCATTCCAATTCATCATCCAAGTGTTATAGGTGAGTTGCAGACGAACGGCTCCACACGAAACTAAGGACCATTATACTGACCATTACTCTTGTATAATTTATAATATATAGTTATTTATATATTTTCCTTAGCCCCAGGATCATTTTTCTGTTTTCTCATTGCGCCCCGAAGCCTGGGGCACAAATATACCCTCAAGTACTCAGGGTCTAGAATGCCTGGGCCCGGGGACCAGCCAGTAAAGGTTCTACTTTGGTGGAGAGTATCATTTTAGACCTTTGAAGCAGTATCAGTATGCTATGCATATCATTGCACTTAGGGGCATCAGATATTTGATTATATTTAGTTGCTGATTATGTAGATTTAATTTGTCTATACATACATACATACATACATATATATATATATATGTGAGTGGCAGTGACTTTTGTGTGTTCATTTGGCACGACATTATCAACCAGAGTCTGGATGGAATGCACCTTCCCAACAGCCGGCAATTTTCTGGAACCAATTTCAAACGACGCAAATTCTATTTCAGGCGATGTGTTAACTTTTTCTGAAGCATAGTTGAAACAATGATATAAAATGATATAAAGTTTTATGGGGAAGGGTCTGAAATGATATTGCCCTTCAATGTCAAGAAATTTTCACCACCTAGGCCATCCTAGGCCACAAGAGAACCAAATTAGACCCCTGTAGCTTGGGAACCCCCTAAGGGAACACTTCAAATTTGATACTTTCTCAGCCAATGCAGAGTGCTCCCAAAATGGAAGCGCACAGTGGTACCAAAAGTATAATGCTAATATAAAATTTAAAAAACCCTCAACTGACATAAAGTTTCACAGACCCTCATCTTCTCATAAAATTGATGAGGCAGTCACAGCAAGTTGAGAAGATATCAGGGGGGAGGGTCTGAAATTATATTGCCCTTCCATGTCAAGAACAATAATTTTGAACAACCACCATTTGTTTTTTTCCTTTTGGCTTCATATTAGAGCATATTCACATATATGTTTATCTAATACCCTATCAGTTCCAAACTTGTTAATATGTATTCACACGTTGTATCTTGATAGCTCCATATGTACTGTAAGCGTCGAGAGCGTCATTTTAGACGCAAAAGTTTGGAACCTCCAAAAGGTCTAGGTGGTCAAGTGTTTTTTTTCCAAAAAGGCCAAGCAGATTACTAAGGACATTCATTTTAGACCAGGGGGTTGGGGGTCTAAAATGAAACCTCAGGGTCGGTAGTAGTTGAGGGTATGCACAAATTGGGATCACGGCCTTGACAGGATTGAACAACGGAAAGAGAATATCAAAGATTGGAAAAGGATGGAAAAAACTATTTAAACGCGCTGTAGGTGAAGGTCCATCTTGAGACCGTGGATAAACGCTGCGGGACTGTGAAGGATTTCAATGGATTTCACACGCTTACATTGTTCGTCAGGTTCCCTGGCAAAGTGCAGCTGGCCAGGGCCTGTGTTAGATTTTTCCCGGGACTATCTCCAGCTCATTCCCAGGACGAACTGACCAATACTATAGTACCCTGCATTGAAAAAGGTCAAAGAAATCTTTGAACAGTCACAACTCAGTCAGCAAATCAAAGGAATGCTGAATATCCCTGGCGTGACGCCATCCAAGGAATCCAAGGCCCGTATCCAAGTGCGCTGCCACCTCGCCCTCCTGGACAAATGGGTGCAGATACCAGTCCGGTGCTGACAAACGAACCTTTGCAGGCAGTAGAGATAACTTTTCCATGTTTGAGAAACATGAGAAACCCAACAGAGCGAACAGATGTGAGCGGATGTGAATAAGATTCTCACCACATCTCACCCCCTTGTCACAGGCAGATGGGGCTCCGCAAGTGAACTGCTTTGCTCTAAGGTTCACCGCCTCCAGGTGCTCGTTGGCCAGAGTTGCAGAGGCTGGGGACTCTGGAGGGATCTTATCAGCATTTAGCTCTACGGACGCTACATAGTCTATTTTATGTTCAGTGCATGTCTTGGAATTTTGGCGCGTGCAAACAGTTCTGTCAAGAGTGTCCAGGATTCTCAATCGAATACGTGTGAAGCAATTTACGCCAAATCACGGCCCGCCCTGTTTGATTGGAAGGCCTCCAGTTTGAAGCTGAGTGTGAACAGCTTTGATGCAGGTTGGTTTGGATTTTTCAAGACAGAATCAAATAGCCAATCTTATATATTGAAGAGAAGACCATTGTAACCTTTGCCATCGCTGGCCTTTTTCTACTCTCAGCAGCTGTTGGGAGTCCTGCGCCCATCTCTGCGCTTGAATAATCAAAATCCCAGCAGGTTTTGCCCCTGAAGTTTTTGATGCAGCTAAGGCATTCCTGCGCGAGAGCTTTAATCTTGGAGGATCAAGCGCCGGTGACATCAATGTCCAAGACTTTGCATTGCTTGACATTCAGCTGTGCATTGACCAGTTGAAGACGAAGCTAGGCACTTTAGCATCTTTAGATATCTTTAGCATATGAGATCCTACCTTTTACAGGGATGGTAGTCCCTGCAGAAGTCGTGGACGTTTTGCTTTCGCTTAAACAGCACTTCCGCCTTCTGCAGCAAATTTGTGGCACCTGCAGCTGCGGTTCTCAAACAGGTTGCGCAGGCTTCCGCCCCAGGCCAAAGATCCTCAGTTGCGTTGGACCTGGACCAAATCAGTGGATATCAAGGGCCCATCAAAGGTCCTCTTGGCCAACTCCAACAGCTTTTGCACACATCATCACACATCCAGGCCAATTGGTTCGTTACCCCAAGGCATTGCAGAGCGCCCCAAGAGTCCCAAACTCAATAAAGCTCCTACAGTACATGTACGCGCAAACAAACAAAACAAAAAAAAAACATTTCGTCCACACAACATTTGCACGGTTTCCACGTACATTGAAGAGGGATATTGACTGACGTGTTGAAGGGAATCTTCAAATATATTCAAATGTTCCAACAGAGATTCTAGAGAATCATTAAATTCCCACCCCCAATAAACTATAATTATTCAAATTATTCAAGAGAATCTTCAAGATGTCTCAAAAGAGTTTCTAGGAACTTTATATTCAAGGGAATCTTCAAGATGATGAAGAATATGATGATGATGATGATGATGATGAGGATGATGATGATGATGATGATGACGATGACGATGACGATGACGATGATGACGATGATGACGATGATGACGATGATGACGATCATGATGATGATGATGATGGTGATGATGATGCTGCTGATGATGGTGATGATAATGATGATGATGATGATGATGATGGTGATGGTGTTGGTGTTGGTGTTGTTGGTGGTGGTGGTGCATTCAACATATTCAACGCACAGGTTGCTAAGCTGTGCGTAGCAAGATGAAAGCCATGATTATGGTCATGTGCATTTTGTCCCACAAACACAGTGTTTTTTGATGTTTGGACACGTGGTGGACGTCGGCGCAGGCAAAAGTTTGCCCGTACATGTACTGCTTATTTCTATTACTCGTAGATACTGTTTTATGAAGTTTGTTTCTACAGAACATGTTTTTTTTGGCCTTTATCCACGTAAAGATTTGCACAACTGCAGTGCTGAACGAGGGTACTGATCTCAATGCAAGTCAATCTTAAATTATACTGTACGTTTTTTGATATTCTGGGTGTTTCGGTGTTTCCCTGTGTTAGTCCATTAATGCTCGATACATTCAGTTCTCCTTTGCAAGGACTGATGATCAACACACGGAAGAAGATCTTGAAGGAGAAGGGTGCCACCCCGACATCTTTGGAGGAAGAAGTCGCCAAGGCCCTTTTTGACATCGAAGTGTCGCCTTCCTGCGACTTCAAAGCAGAGTTGCGAGAAATTTACCTCTCTGGTGCTACGGAGATCGAAGTAGGGAAGGGAGGTGCTGCGGTGATCGTGCACATCCCTTTTCGTGCATGGAAATTTGCCAAAAAGATTCAGTCCAGATTGATCAAGGAGCTCGAGAAAAAGTTTAGTCGAAAGCATGTGATCCTGGTGGCAAATCGTACCATTTTGGACAAGGACTTCCGTCGAAAGGGTATGAAAGTACGCCCTCGTAGCCGCACACTGACGGCAGTGCATGAGGCCATCCTTGAGGATGTGGTTGGTCCAACTGAGATCGTGGGCAAACGAACTCGTATTGGTACCGATGGCAGCAAGATCTTGAAAATCCTTTTGGACCCCCGGGACAAGGACACGCCTGAATCTTTGCGGTGATGGGACATCCACAAAGACAAATCAACAAGTCTATGATTAAAATTTATTAAAATCTAAAATTGGCCAAAAAAGATCTGCATGCATTTGCTTCTACCAGCTTACCAGCAGAACTTTTTGGCCTCACTGTTTAGGGTTAACATTTGCAACTTGAGAAGACACCATGAACCTCCTGTATGATTTTATTGAGTTGCACTTCTTGCATAGGCCGGCAAGCACTAGCATTATAACGCGGCATGCCTCCCCCAGAAGAGACAACATCACTTCCCCTATCCCAAAGCCAACAGGACAAGGAGCACGTTGACAACAAGTTGCCAGTCTTCTCGGCTGTGTACAAAAAGCTTACGACCAAGGAAGCTATTTTCAGCTTCCCTCAGGTCTGAAGCCAGCGAATGACGCTGTGTAATGTGAAAGCGCGCCTGTGGACCAAAAGCTGCAGCTCTGCACGTTCTTGAGCTCAAATGATTTTTCGTGCAAGAAAACCCTTACGCTTCCAAATCTTCAAAAGCATCTCACTGCGTTTACCATCCATTCTCCAAAGTGCTTGACACACACCAAGGGATTTGCTGGCATGCCGCCTGCGTGGCAGGGCAATGGAGGCTCAGTAGCAGTTTTCTTTCTTTTCACATTGTCAGAATTTGTCAGAGATTTTTTAAATATCAGGCCGCCAGCACGTTCTGGGTCAAAGCACAAATCTGGGGTTTTCTTTAAAGTTTGCTGACAAAACAATCGACTCGGAAACTTTTGCCGAGGATGGCGGGCGCGAGATCAGGGCGAGGACACCTACAGTATTGGATGCCATTGGGGCCCTGAAACTGGGAAGTATCTCAGACCTGTTGTGCTATCAATGAAGGACGCGGAGGAACGCTTGCCAACTGCAGTGTTACAAGCGCACGGTATAATGATGATAATGACATGTGACCAATTTGATATATAATATATAGAAATCCAGTCGAGACGAGACTAGCAAGGACTTGCTTTTCTCTTGCTTTTTTGCAGAGTAAGAAGGCACCGCATGGGGTTCCCCAGGAGGATTTGATGCTCCAAAGGGCTTACGAGGCATCCGTGGTACTGCAGTAGTGTTAGCACTGTTTGCCTTGATTATTTCTATGGCTACCTGTTCTCGTTCTTCTTGTTCTTGCTCTTGTTGTTGATGCTTCTTCTTCCATTTTCGTCCACTGTTCTTCTGGTTTATACAAGTTGTTGCTGCTCCTGCAGATACTGTATTTTAAATGCTGCTGCTGCTGCTGGTGCTGGTGCTGGTGCTGGTGCTGGTGGTGCTGCTGGTGGTGCTGCTGGTGGTGCTGCTGCTGGTGCTGCTGGTGCTGCTGCTGGTGCTGCTGCTGGTGCTGCTGCTGGCATAAGCTTGCGGTGCTGTGGTGCTTGCTGCTGTGGTTGTCTGCTGAATCGTGGTACTGCGCTGTGGTGCTGGCTGCCTGGTTAGGTGCTGCTGTGGTGCTAAAGCTGGTGGTGTGCGGGTGCTGCTGGTGGTGCTGCTGGTGGTGGTGCTGGTGCTGCTGGTGCTGGTGCTGGTGGTGCTGGTGCTGGTGCTGGTGGTGCTGGTGGTGGTGCTGCGAATGTTGTTGCTGTTGCTGTTGCTGCTGCTGCTGCTGTTGTTGTTGTTGTTGCTGGTGTTGTTGTTGCTGTTTGTTTTGTTGTTGCTTTTTTGTTGTTGCTGTTATGTTGTTGCTTCTGCTGATGCCGCTGATGTCGCTCATGTTGCTGATGTTGCTGATGTTGCTGCTTAATCTATTGTTGCTCTTGCTCTTATTTAATTGCTGCCTTTTTTGTCATTTTGTTGTGTTTCCTTCCAACGGGTCGTCATGTTTGTGACTTCCTTCAGGCCTTCTTTGAGCACGCCGCCATAGCTACTTGATACACATTGGTTGGTGCTGCGGCAGTTTTCCCGCTTTTGTTCAGATTCACAAATCCTTTCAAATGCTCAAACGACACGGGCACCATGGGTCGCAGATATCACTGCTTCAGTCCCCGGCCCATTCTTGCCTCAGCCTACTTACTTATACAACACAGTTCAGCCTAATGGTGACAGACAGAGAGAGAGAGAGAGAGAGAGAGATGTCAGTCACAAACTGCATATTAAACAAGTGCAAATACAAAATACTGCAAATGCATAATCAATGCATCTTATATAGATCAGATGATCAGGCAATCGTTTTTTTTTTTTGTGTGACCGCCATCATGACCTTTGTGATCCTTAGTGATAATCAATCTGCAGTCATCACCACCACCACGACCATGATGCTGACGATGATGACGATGATGATGATGATGATGATCATCATCATCATCATCATCATCATCGTCATCATCGTCATCGTCCTCATCGTCCTCATCGTCCTCATCGTCCTCATCGTCCTCATCGTCCTCATCGTCCTCATCGTCGTCGTCCTCGTCCTCTTTATTATCATTATATATCCTCATCGTCACTGTCACCATCGCCCTCACCGTAATTGTCACCGTCATATGGTTTGTTGTCATTCTTATGTCGTCATCATCGTCACCAACGTCATCGTTGTTGTTCTCCTCATTGTCCTTGTCATCGCTATCAATGTGTGGTGAATGCGTACAAGTCTTGCATTTGTTCTTTGGCACCAAAAATTCAAGAAACTTGATATGATTTGTATCGCCGCTCCAGATGGATTCCGTCCATTGGCCATGGTCAGGTCTACCGTCAACAGCAACTGGAGCTCCTTCGGTCATGAACGAATGCTCAGGTCTGCTGTGAGTTTTTGTGCATCCAGCCACTTCACCTCACCTACTCGGATAAAAAGCACTGTCAAATATCTGTCAAATTCTGTTTAAAGTTGACTGGATGACTGGATGCGCAAACTTCGCTTTCCAGGCGCCTGTAGATTGTAGACATGAGATGCGGTCAAAACAAAACTACTTTGGTAAGGGAGGGTCCAGTTGTGTTGAGAAAGTGCACCAAACCATGTAAAGCGATAGGCCCCCCCCAAAAAGCGATAACTTGTAACCGTATGAGAGTGCATTAAACTTAGTTTAAACCAAGCAAATATTGTTGCGTGCCTTGACGCGATGTGCACAAATTGATGAAGAAAATTCAACCTGCAGTGCCCACGTTTCTTGCAGTTGCCAAACCATTTGTTGTCGAAGGTGATTGAACCATTGCTTTCTGCAAGCAGTTGTTTTTTTTTTTCTCCCAGGTCCCAAAGCAGTAGAAGTAAACTTAACTAAATGCAACCGAATTCTGAATTAAATTAAAACATATAGTTTTAAATCTATATAATTCTGAATTCCGTTTATGTGCTTTACTATGCTGTACTTTGATTTAAATTTCGTATTCCTTTGTTTCCTTTTCTTTGTTTTTTCTTCCATTTTCCTTCGATTTCCTTTGGAATTCTGAAGTAAATCAAACTGATTTTGAATCCAATTCTGCATTCCATCTATATTCATTACTGTATGTTCCTTTTGTTTGATTTGTCCTTTCTTCCTTCGTTTCCTTTTCTCGTTCTTTCCTTCCTTTTTCCTTTTATTTTGTCCTTTTGGTTCCACGTTCTTTTTCCTTTTCCTTTCTTGATAATCAATGATCAAGGTGTTCGAATTTAGCGATAACCTTAGCGATAGCCTAGCCATATTTTTTGTTGGAAAAGGAACCCCGGATGAGGGATAGACTCCTTTGATCCCAACAAGAAGAATTCAACAAAAAAGCGAACAGGTTCTCAACCCTAGGCCATCAGGTTGTTTGGGTCCCATCTTCAATTTCTAGAGCTTTTGAGCGGGGAAGTGTGGCGTTTTCATAGAATTAGAATTATATAGTGATCTTATAACCATTGGGAACCATTGAAAGAGTCTAGCAATGTGCTTAGATAGCTCCCCAACATGGTTGCAAACGCAAAGACAACGAGCACCACCTGATCCTTTCCCAACAGTTTAGAGATCTGAATCCGTGAAACCAATTCCGCTGCATTTTTGCATTATTTAGTGTTTATTTGAACAAAACACTGTAAAGCGGTAGGGCCCCCAAAAAAAGCGATAACCTATATTTTCGTACCAAGCATCAACAATTGATTTTGACGGCAGCTCATGTCCATACTTCCTGCTTCTTGCAGTTTATTGAGTGCTGATGCATTCGGCTATTTCTCCCGCTCTTCAGTTTGGCCGCTGACTTTTGAGAGTACACGGACTGTGCCAGCTACAAACCTGTTGAATTTCAGCCACAAGTGGAGAAATCGCCTTCAGCACGCCCATCTCCGGCAGAATATGCCAGGATCGAACGGCCAAAGTACTTCCATGAGGAAAGTAGAGCAGCTATCAGCTATTGCATGAGGTCCATGCTCATATTGGAAGTTGATCGCCACCATTGACATTCAGCGGATTTTCCAAATTACTTCAGGAATATTATAACCAGCCCCTCCAGTTTTTATCCTGCCTTCGTCTGTGGTGAAGAGAAACTGTCTCCCCTCATTCCGCTTTTGCTTGACTTGATACTGGTAGATACTCGGTTCAATGCACACATGGTTTTGCAAAGGTTCAGAGTCCCATTGCAATCAGGCTGTGGTGTATTTTGAGTGACCAGATGAGCCCAGTTTTTTGGCCCTTTCTCTTCAGTTTGGCCCCAGTGCCAGTTGGAGATATGGAAAATAGCATGGAACACCACCAGGTGATTCCTTCTGACAAATTTGAATCACATATAGTCACACGATATACAAAACAATACAATCAAAATCATACACAAATGTACAAAGTCACACATGGTTCAGCTAAATACTGGCAATCAGTGGGACTAGCAGCAATTAATTACAACAGACAGCAGACACCAAGACAGGACCGATTCTTTTGTTCACAGTTGAGATCCTAGCATTCAGCGCTCAGCACATGTTTTCAGTTGCTATCGGAATGTGCTTACTTTTTGCGTTTGTTTGGTGAAGCAGGGCCGTGCTCAAGCTGATCAACAGGACAGTAATTTCAGTCTGCTAATTGGCATAGGGATGTGCTGCTGCCATGATCAGGTCTGCCACTTATTTGAGCACGTTTGAGTGCGTTAGTTTGGCAGCACAGTTCCTCAACTATATGCACAATGCTTGCTATCATTGCAAGGTGTGAGGAACAGGGCACAGGGTGTGCTTTTGTTGCTGGTTTTCTGCAGGATGCAATGGATAAGCATTAGTGAAAGATGTGTATATAGTAAATAAATGTAAATAATATGTATATATATATATATACTATTATAATATATATATGTGTGTGTGTGTGTCATGATGTCGTGGGATTCTTTTTTCCTGACTGGCCAAGGCTTCAACCGCAGGCTATTCCGCTGTTGAATCCGTGCAGGGGCTGCACGTTTTGAGAAACAAGATTTACAATATCATCATTATGGTCCAATAACAGAAATTATCCTCTAGGGCAGATTTCACTTGGCTCTCCAAAACATGCAACTGCCATGCATCTATCAATTCATTTCACTGTTTGGAAGCCTTGAACAGATGTCTATTGGAATTCATAGAGGGCTTTGGGAGTTTGGATTTCGACACTGCAATGCATATCAATGCATCCTTTTTGGGCACTATTCCTCGGCTCAGATGCTTTGAGCGCCTTTTTCTTTTCTTTTCCAATTGAGCTAGCGAATGCTAATGGTCAGCATGACTTGGGTCATTTCCAAGTGGGCTGAAGGCCGAGAGGCTCCAGAAAGACATCCAGGACTGCGGTGCATTGCTGTACGCATGCAATCCAAAGACGTCACGACCCATCCGGTTGCAAGATGTTACAATGTTACATGATTATCGGATTGTTCTCTAGGTGTAACTATATGCAACTATATGTAACTGTAAATAACTATAATGTTGTATCATGTAACTAGTCGGATGTATTATACAAAACTTTTACAAATTATACAATAATTTCAGTGGCGTTTTCAGACTCCGTCAGTGTGAGATGGTCCCCGTGGCTCAGAGCTGCCGAAGTCACACCGCAGCATGCCCTGAGTTTGGGGATTTGGGCATGCTCTCGCTCAATCTGCTGAAGGAATGACATCAGCTACTAAGTATGTGAATGATATATTGTACATACATTTTATAATACGTATAATGTATATAATGTACATGTATAACTATACGTATATATATATATATAACAACTATTAACATATATAATTATATATATATATATTATAGCCGCTAATAGTTATGTTCTTTTTCTGACTACACCACTCGTGTTTTTGCACATGGTGAAGATGTTGTGTACCAGAGGATCTCCGGGAAGAGCTGGAGATCCGCCAGCGAGAAAGTCAGGACCAACACACTGCAGTAATCGAACAGGGGTAATGAACGGTAATTAATGGACAATGCGCCATTTATAGATTGATTTTCCCGAAGCTTAGGGATTTCCCACTGCCATGTTTGATTACCAAAGGGTATTTCATCGCAATTTTGTCATGATGTTGCAGCATGTTGAAACCATCCGGGAGACATGTTGTCTAAAACCATCTTGTTTTTAGCCGCTGCTATTTACTTGAGGTACAAGATTTCCAGCATGTGGGAATGTGTCAAACTTCACTCATCATTCGGATCATTTCATTGACCATGATGATACCATTCGAAATTGTGTGCAACATGGTCTGTGTTTTGCTAATTTATTCTGCCATCTGGAAAAGGAAGAAATCCGCCACAGCCCCAGCACGGAATGCAGATCAACGGGGCCAAGACTGGTTTAATTGGGGGGACCGAGGCAAAGAAATTCCGAGACTCAGTTCAGAAATTAAACTAGACTCACTTCTCCTAGAAACCTGTTGCTTTGTCACAATATGTCAGTTTTGGCTATGGCAGACAGGCATTTCTGTGGATTGTTCATGCAGGAATGCACAAGAGAGTTCCAATTGATAGAGGGTACCAGGGTACCTTTGTTGTCCTCTTTTTATTAAAGGGCTACGCCCTCTGCCGCCGACCCCTGGACACTGGAGGGTCATGCCTGCCTCTGTGTCGTAAGCATGAAATGAACCCTAAAGAAACCAGAAACTGACCTAAACAAACCATTTGTATGTGCGTTTGGCACTGTGCACATGCAAGCAGCATGGACCCCTGCAGGATGACACGCACAACTATGTGCTCTGACACTTTTTCATGGCTCAAGAAATAGGAGCTTTCGTCATTGGGCAGGTGTCTTGGGGACCTAAAGGGTTGCTCTAGCACTTAAGACCCATACCCGAAGCCCCCGTTCGTAACCGCAGTATGAAACTTTAAATGGCATCCTAAAGAGACCCGAGACGACACTGCACTGCCAACTGCCACCCTGCTCGTGTCCTCCTGGAGCCGGCTTTCGTTCTGCACCGCTTCGGTCCAAGCTGGAGTCCAAGGACCGTGTCGCAGGGCTAAAACACCATGGCAGTGAAGGACGGATTGGGCCCGCGGCCCATATCCCAGACTGCCAAACGTCACTTTCTGAACTGACTAGAAACTAGCTCCAAACCTTGACTTTTCCTG